CTCCTGCTCCAGCAGCAGCACAGAAGGAACGTGGCATGTTCTGAGTGCCGCCTTCCTTCAGTGCCACGGCTGGGGACAACCCGGCTTTCAATGCCGGGGGTGGAGCGCAGTGGCTGCTGGCAGGACATGCAGCTTAGAAGGCAACACGGCTGCCAGCAGCAGCACAGAAGGCAGGGGTGGGGGATCTGTTATTGCCACTTTCCCTTCTGCGCTGAAGCTGCTGGTGTGCAGCCAGAGCGTGGGGGCCAGGTGCCTACCTGAGAAGGCAGCGCAGAAGGGAGGGTGGCCTGGTGTGGCAGTGCCTCCTTTTCTTCTGCACTTCTGCTGGTAGTGGCACTGCTACTAACAGGGAGGCTGGGGGCAGTTATAAGGGGTCAGGTGCCCAACCCGGCTGGCAACCCCACTGCCAGCAGCAGCGCAGCAGGAAGAGGAGCTCCCTTTGAAGTCAGTGCCAGCAGCAGCAGCAGAGCAGAAGGAAGTTCAGCTGGCGATGCCGTTGCCACCCTTCCGTCCGTGCTGCTGTTGGCTGGGCGGCAGAGAGCAGCTGCCCCTCCAGCCGCCGAGCTCAGAAGTCCAGGAGAGATCAGGGACATTTCTTCTTATTTCCAAACTCCTCCGGGACGGAGACCTGGAGACTGAAGACGAGGCCACGGCTGGGAAAGTCCAAATGTCCGGTGCCCCTGTGAGCGACCCTCCTGCCCTCGCCTTGCTGCCCCCTTCTGGGTGCTGGGCGGCAGAGAGCAGCTGCCCCTCCAGCCGCCGAGCTCAGAAGTCCAGGAGAGATCAGGGACATTTCTTCTTATTTCCAAACTCCTCCGGGACGGAGACCTGGAGACTGAAGACGAGGCCACGGCTGGGAAAGTCCAAATGTCCGGTGCCCCTGTGAGCGACCCTCCTGCCCTCGCCTTGCTGCCCCCTTCTGGGTGGGGACCCCCAGAGGGAGAAACGCTGCACTAGGGGATTCCTCTATGACCCCGAGAGCCAACACAGCCAGGAGTTCCTGGCAGCCCCTTTCCCACCACTTCCACAGAGGCGGCGGTAGGTTCTAAGGGGAGGTTTCCCCCAGCTCAGAGATCTGCCTGGACGGAGAGGGGAGGAACAAAGGAGGGCCTGGCCAGGAACTCCCAGGGCCAGGGCAGGGCTCACGCGGCAGCACCCCTGGAAGCAGCAGCAGATCTAGGGCAGGGTGAGCGGCGCGGCTGCCCCGGGCCCCGTGCTTCGAAAGACCCCACGCATGCGCTAATAACAGTCAGCTGTGGCCGTGGTGCATGCGCAAAATTGTGCTGCCCAGGGCCCCATGGCGCTCTCATCTGCCCCTGCCCGGCAGGGAGTGGCCAGAGAGTCGTGGGTACAGACTGGGGTATGAAGAAACCTGCTGCTCAGCCAGGCACAAAACACTGTGTCCAGCCCAGATTTATCCAGCCTCCCGCTGACTCTAGAGTCCCTGCTGCCTCCTCCTGCATAGCCTGGAAGAGCAAAAATGAATTATGGCCTCCGAGAGATGCTCCCTCGATGCCAAAATCTCCACCCTCCTCGGGTGTAGCAATAGCAGGAGCCAAGTAAAAAAATTGTGAGACTGGTTTAAAATCAAGAGATTGAAGAGAAATAAGCCAATTTGTGTTTTTATGAGCTTTGCTTTCTGGGCCGTAAGCACACACTCGGGTCTGTTTCAGCCATTCCCTGCAAACCAGAGGACGTGAAACACTTTTCCCATGACGGCCAAGGGGCCGCTACACCCCAGGGCCAGTGGGGACAGAGCGGTGCCAGCTGAGCCCCCTCTGTGGGATGCAGCTCACAGGCACAGGAGGAGTGTTTCTCTTGCCATGACAACAGCCCCGCCCCAGGCAAAGCCCTCCCAGACTCCTGGCTGGAGCAGTCATGCCTAGCAGTCAGAGCAGTGACTGTCAGAGCCCTGGGTTGGAGCTGGGGCCAGGCATACCACAGCAGCACAAAGGCTGGTCTCCTGGGCACAGACTTGAATGGCCGAAGGGACCATCATGAGCATCTGGTCTGACCCCCTGCACCTTCAGGCCCAGAACCTCACCCAGCCCCCCTGGTCCCTGCCCTACACTCCCTGGCTGAGTTACTGACACCCTCACATCATGGCTAAGCGATGTCAAGGGATGGAGAATCCCCCATTGACATGACAAAGCCATACTCGGATGGCTAGTGTTTATAGGAATTTTAGTCTGCATATTGCCCTGCCTTATTCCTTTGTTCATTGCATGCGTACGGCGAATGGTGTCCCAAATTGTATCCCAACAAACAAGTCCTCACATAATGGCACTCTATACCAGACTGCCCTTAAAGGATGAAGAAGAGCCTGACAAGTAAGGCTCTTGAGGGGGGAATGTAGTGGAATTTGCCCCTCAGCCACTAATCCCTCCCCCTCAGCCATTGACCCTCCTGGCCACTAAACCCCCACATCAGCCATTAACCCCTCCAACACCTGGCTCTCCCCATCCCCATTAGCCAATAAATGCCCCGGACACTAACACCCCCCCATCTCAGCCATTAAGTCTCCTAGGCTACGTCTAGACTGGCCCCTAAAAATGGAAAAGCGATGCAAAGCAGGTAAATCAGCATAGGGAAATCCGCGGGGGATTTAAATATCCCCCGCGGATTTAAATAAACATGTCCGCCGCTTTTTTCCCAGCTTGGGGAAAAGCCGGAAAGAAGCGTCTAGACTGGCCCGATCCTCCGGAATAAAGCCCTTTTCTGGAGGATCTCTTATTCCTACCTTCCTGACTTACCTGCTTTGCATCCCTTTTCGGGAATTTGGGGCCAGTGTAGACGTAGCCCTGGCGTGTAACATCTCTTCACATGCAAACCTCAGCCACTAACCACCCAGGTTGCTAACTGCCCACCTCGGCTATTAGCTCCCCCTGTGATAACCTCCCCGCCTCAGTTATCAACCCTCCCAGCACTCAACCCCCCCCCCTCCCCCATGCCTAGTGCCATGTGTGGGGCAGTGACTCAGGCCAGAGGCTGCTCTTAGCACCCGGGCAGGAGGGGGGGGACTCCCAGCCTGCTCCGC